GGATGCAGGTATTGACCTTCACTTCCCTCGCTCTCTTTCCTATTTCTTCCTGACTCTGCTTCCTCACTTGGCCGATATCTGAGGAATTTTGTAGAGCTAGCATTGAATTTCTGTCTTCCATTATGTAACAAATATATTTATTTGCTGTATATTACATGAATTCTAATTTTCCATTAAACTTGTTTTTATACACTAGAACTATATTTAATGTAATCAAAACAGCAAAATAAGCTCATTTAAATAAAGGAAAAAAAAAAAAAATGAATAGTTTAATTCTATAAAATCTCAGCTTACCTGCCACTTTTTATCATGGATACCATATGTTTGTAGTAAGCATTTAATGGGTTGTCAAAGGAGAGAAAACTAAACATTGGATTTCCAGCTTGCTTTGTCTTGATTACAATCTCCATCTGTCCACCTTGTGTCACAATGAACTTGGATGTTTTAACTATGATCTTATTTTGCTTCACAGTCTCTGGCTAGAAAAAGAAAAGTTTCCATTGGGTAAAATTAGCATTATTTCACTAAGGAAAAAATGCGGATAAGTCATTTAAAAATATACAAGTATTAAGTAGGCTACTTTTGCCCTCTATGTAATAAAACATCTGACTCTAAGAGAAATAATGCAAAACATTAATAGCAAATTTTCATAACGCAAAATTAAACCAATACCCACCACAATCATCCCAGGTGGAACATTCAAGTCTGGCGGTGGCACAAAAGTATCTTCATCAGCCTCTGGAAAATACCCTGTATATTGCTCCTGCTGCTGTTGTTGTTGCTGCTGAAGTTCAGCCTGCTGCTGTAATGCGCCCTGTTGTTCTAGTATCTGCTCTTCAGTCAAGGCAACACCTCCCTCAAGAACAGCCTGCCCATCATAGCTAAAACCCACCTGGCTGTATGTATAGGTGTCAGATCCCAGTTCACTGATCAGCCGTTTGGCTTCCTCATCTGAAAAAACAATTTGAAAACAATGACTTTAAAAATCATCCTGAGAAAAGAGAATTTACACATGTGAACAGAAGAAGTAAATTACATTTTTCTCTTATATGATTCTGATTTTATACATGCATATATCTGGTTAGAGAGAGAGAGAGGAGAGAGGAGAGAGAGAGAGAGAGAGAGAGAGAGAGAGAGAGAGAGAGAGAGAGAGAGAGAGAGAGAGGAGAGAGAGAGAGAGAGGAGAGGGAGAAGAGAGGGGGGGGAGGGGGGGGAGGGAGGGGGAGAGGGAGAGGGAGGGGGGGAGAGGGAGAGGGGGGGTGAGGGAGAGGGAGGGAGAGAGAGAGAGGAGGTAGAGAGAGAGGGAGGTAAGAGAGAGAGAGAGAGAGAGAGAGAGAGAGAGAGAGAGAGAGAGAGAGAGAGAGAGAGAGAGAGAGAGGAGAGAGAGAGAGAGAGAGAGAGAGAGAATGTGATTGTGGCAACACCAGCAAATTTCTACAAAACCGTCAAGCAAAATCCACCCATCCTACCACAATGATTATGTACTACACACACAGCAATATATGATGATCAAAGAAGAGTACTGGTTTGTATTCTTAAAGCAGTTATTCTCTGGTAACAGAGCAGTGTATTTCTCCTATAGAGTGTGAAGTTGGTATGTAGATTATTTTCTTTTTTGTCATTTCTCAAGGCTTATATTTGTTAGTAGTTATGCTATATCAAGATGGTAACAGATTACACAGACTCCATATCATTTCTCTAAGTAGTCTACAACTCTGTGAAATAACAGTAACATTTTGCTATTAGTGTCATTTTTATTTTTATGATTTTCTTAATTTGATTTCAACAAAACATACACCTTGCACTACCAGTAATGGCAGGCAGGAATAGGATCCTGAGCATGGAAATAGTGTCTTGCCTGGAGCATGCTTCTCCAGCCATGGCTTACAGATGGTACATTCTGTCCTTGTTTTCTGGTGGAAAAGCAAAAGTTTTTTTCTAATGCCATTGAGTCTCATGTTCCCATCCAGCCCAGAGCAAATTTTCCATGACGGCATATTCACATCTCACCCAAACTTAGCCACACTTTATCATGACATAAAAAAATTCAGCCTATAAAGTTAAGTAATATGTGTATAATTGTACTTACCTTGATACTCTTGGTACTGGAATTCGTCATGATATAGGGCAAGGTATCTTTCCTGATCACATTTCTCTTCTTCTGCCCGCTCCTCTTCAGTCAGTCCTTCCCATCGGTCTCCTGCCTCCCCTGATTCAGCTTCTTTGAGGTCATAGAGAGCTCCACGAACATCATATCTAAGCACAGAATAAAACCATATAATCAATATCCAAATTACACATACATTGGTATTCATAGAATAATTAAAATAATAAAAGTTTCTAAATTCTTCTTCAAACACTGGATTTATATTATGTTATTTCCAATTACAAGAACATATATAAAGGGACATGTATAAAATTAGTAGTTGTTTCTTTGGTTGTGTGCCATGATGACTCCAATCCATGATAACCAGTATTGTTTTGTCATTCTTTCATTATATTAGCGAATATACCCCTTCCTGGGGGTATTTTGCCGTACACATGAAGCATACCTTTCTAACCCCCTACCGGGGGAAAGCCCCCAGATCCCTTTCCCTGGGGCATTTCCCAACAGGGGGCAAGCCCCCGGACCCCTTACCCTGGATATTTCTCCAAATTTCTCCCTTCCCCCAAAATATTTAGCTTACTTAAAAGAGACAGAGGATATAAGTCGGCAGCAACAAGCAGGAAATGGTGCAGTCGCTGTAGTCTATCCTATGTTCAATGCCGCAATTTGAACAATTCAATGTTTTTAGTATAACACCATGAGCACGTACACAATCCAAATATTCAATATCTCCAACAAATTTCAGCATAAAATCACCATACCCATAGTCATAGCCGGCACACAATGTCATTGTCACTTGTTTGCACCAAGGTCGGGGGTCGAAATGTCCAGTGGACTCTCAAAATGGGTAGTCAAATCAGTAACGATAGGTTCGTGATATTAACCGACGAATAATTTAAGATATTGTAAATTATCGTTTATCTTAAATCATATATATGAATATAAATAAATATCATGAACATATCAAATACAAGAAATAAAAGAACTCTTATTAAATGTTTTTAATTTACTGGGGATATACAGCGACATCTATGAACTTTTCAGGAAGCTCACAATATTGTTTACATTCGATGAGGTTCGAGATAACGAGGTTTTTTCTCTCGATGAGGCAACTTTTGAATTTCAAATGAAGCACAACCTGTGAGTTCCCCACAATTTTATTAAATTCACCGACAGTACGAACACTAGTCAATAATACTATTATACTTTCCTCGGTATATGTAGTGCAGACGCCTTAATCAGCATTGCCAAAATGACAACCAACACGAAGTCCTAGGTATACATTAATTTTTTTCTGAAACTTCTCAGTTTATGAACAAATCCAACACTCATTTCCTTCACAAGTGAAGCACAGCTATAATATCAGTCCCAATAGCTGAGGAGGGCATGATAAGTATCAAGTGAATGATTGAAGTAAAACTTTCAGTAATTTAGTCATTGCAAAACACATCTATAGTAAATTGAGTGCTGGAAAATCTTCACTTTGCATATTCTGGCAGGATAGGGCCTCAGCCAATATCTAGATCTCTCACAATAATTTCTTACCTTGACCAATGAAACGTGATCGCCAGCCTGCAAATCGTCAAAATCCTCATCAACACTGTTGGTGGGAATTGCAACATACTTGCAGTATCATGTATTGATATTTTGCATGTAAAAGGTAAAACAGCATCATATATACAGCATAGCCATGATGGAACATTTAAATTTCAACTGCTTTCCCTTATGTTCAGCTTCTATTGTTATGCGATTACAAATCTATTGACTGTAATAGACGGGTCACTTATGTCACATTATGGCCAAGTACAATTCCCATTGGGTCGCTAATGTCATACTCTACAATCTGACTGTTTTATAGCTTTCTTGATTTTGCATCATTTCCTCTTGCCATGGAGCACCTGGAATTATTGAGCTTTACGTCTTCTCTACTACCCTCAATAATAGTTTGCGAAGGAATTGCTACAATAGAAAAGGGTCTTTTACTGTTACATTCTATCCAGACTGTAGAGTATTTGTCTTCTGCTGGGAATATTACATTTTTTCATGCGCGGAATACATGATTTTGTTTACAACTGTGTGGATGGATCTGCGGACAGATGATGAAACAAATGCATGGAAAGGTCAGAAGAATTTTAAGCGAGGAAGATGATTTAAAAAAGAGCTAAGCGTACACAGAGTTTCCAGAGAACTACATTTGCGCGGACATAATTTGACCAAATAATTTTTGCAGACCAAACTCTGCAGCCTGGCATTCTATCACACGGCAAGCCTCTGATTTTAGTGTTTAGTATCATTTCCAATAATGCCCTAGTTTTCCTCTACTTTCACCAGGCCCTTTCCTATACATCTAGCATTCATTTTCAAAGAATGACTTTCATACACCCCAGTCTAGGAAACATAACATTCATTTCAATATGCCCATTCATTCTGTAAATCACCAGTAACAATTAATCCTGAAGAGAAATCCCGGCCACCTATACCGTTCAAATCCCGCTTAACAAATGACAAAAGATTATCACACAAAGCTGAAAATATCAAAATACTGTTTTTTTCCGAAACAGGGCACTGCATACAGACCTGTCAACCATGAGACTGCTATCGCCCATCCAGGGAATCAAATGCTCCCCTTTATCCACATATTGAGCCTTCTCATTGTCACGAAACAATTTGCATGAATATCCAAATACCAGAAGCTCTTCGTGGCCATTATTTGTGTCTTTTGGTCTTCCTTCCCACACAATTCGCCCGAACTCGGACGCCATGTTTTGGAGACCTAGCCGTATTCGATTGCGTGTGTCATGTAGTCCATCGTTTTTAATATTTTAAATAATTCTTGGTATCTACATATAATTTGTTGCATTTCTTGTTCATTTTAATATTGCATTATATTGATATTATAATCTTGCTAACTTCATCCCAGGGGATTAATCATTTGGGATATGGATGCAATATAGTTCGAACAAAGGGAATGCATCTTTATTTTTTCGTAAAAAGGCTCTTTTGGATAATATGACAAGACAATAGTAATCCTAAGCAAAACAAAAAATATGAAAAATAAGAATTTATCAATACAACAATTTACATCTAATATACACATATATACATATATAAATATACATGTCTCTATATTTATATTATATATATTCTATATATATATATATATATATATATATATATATATATATATAATATATATATATATATATAATATATATATGTATATATGTATATATATATATTATATATATAATATATATATATATATATATATAAACATATATATAGTGACTAGAATCCGCCTGCTTAACTCTACTTAAATGTGAAAAATAAACTATTAGGAAAGATGATACTCTGAGTCGCGATAAATAAAGGGATTGCAGCATGCCCTTTTTCTGTTTCTTTTTCTGGTGAGCTGCCGCTATCTCCGGAAAGTTTATATCGTCCTCCTGTACGTGCCATGAAAAGTAACAAGGTAAAACTATTTCTGGCACGAGACGCTGGAGTTCGCCTGGTTGGAAACCCGAATTCACAGCCCGGAGGATTTTGACGCTGCTGAAAAGGAATGAAGAACAATATATGAGTCTTGCTTAGGCTACTGAAGGCCAAATCTTGGTAAATGGCCATTAAGGGTCCAAGAGCGTTGGGCTGAGTATCTGAGCGGCATGGTCATCAGTGATGTGGTGATCTTACTGCCTAATCCCGCACCAGCCTTAGGCATCCCACTCTGTAAAGCAGTGGTCCCAACCCATGGTCGCGAACCAAATGAGGGTCACCAGGGTTTTTTTCTGAGGGTCGCCAGAGGGTCTTAAAAGAAGAATCCATAGCCGGATATGTCAGTAAAAGTTCATGTTTTTATTAACAGTTGTTTATTGATATTCAATGTGTTGACAATACAAACCTATAAAAGTATTGAATAAAGTAAGCTAATATATATCTGCAAGTATAACTACCGTGTAAATGGTTGGATGTATTACTAGACGTTCACATAGGGGGTCGCTGGCCCAGGCTAAAAAAAAAGTTTGGACAGCTGTGGAGGGAAGAAGGATCGCTCGGACCGCAGTAATCGTTGAGACATTACACTACTTCAATATACCAGGCAAAGTGCTTGCTTTAATTCTTCTGAGTCTTATTAGAGACTACGTAGTGAGGCCCCAGAAATCATAAGTAATTTAGAAAGTAATTTCTGACACCTGTCTTTATGCTTCGAGTTAATGCAGAACGCCATCGTGAGTTGGTCCGAGAGCTCGAGAAGGCATTTGACTCAGTTCATCGCGAGTCACTCGAGACTCAGAAAAATGCGAACAAATATTATTGGATTAATTGCAAGCTTTTCTACTGGTACTGGAAGTGCTATAAATTAATTGTGGTGAGGGTAGGTCTAGCTTCTTCCCTGTGAATTTGGGAGTAAGATAGGACCATGTTCTTGCATCAGCCCATTTCAATACATGTGTGGAATTAATGACGAACATATTGCAGCTGGAACAATTATGTTATTATCCTTGAAGTTCTGATGTGACAGACAGAGCAACAGGAACAGAGAAGGAGAGACAGACAGAAGAGAGACAGACAGAGAAACAGACCGACAAACAAACAGAGACAGGGACACACTGTCTGTCTCTATCTCGATGTCTGTGTCTGTCTCATTGTCTGTGTCCGTCTCAGTGTCTGTGACTGTCTCTGTGCCTGTCTCTGTCTGTGTCAAGTCTTTAAAAATAATGCATCCATAGATCTCTTACTGCAGTTATTTTCAGCGTGTTTTGAAAATGGAATACAACCGAAAATATTCGGCAAGGGAACAATTAATCTCATTCCAAAATCCTGAAGTAACGATCGAAGAATCCCACTCAATAACAGAGGGCGTTATGCAGATATCGTGTGTTGGGAAAATGTACTCAGGACCTTTAAATAATCAATTAAGATACTTTCTGGAAGTAAATGGGGTTCTGTCGGAAGAACAAAATGGATTCCGTAAGGGTCGAAGTACCACCGAACACATTTTCTCATTAATAACAGTATGCAAAAATCGTGTTAAAGAGTGCTAGCAAACGTTCTGTTTTTTCGCGGATTTACAGTGAGCATTCGGTTGTACGGATCGAATTTGCCTTTTTTCAAGATTATTAGAAACAGGTATAACAGGGAAGCTATTCAATGCCATTAAATCATGTTACGAACATCAACATGTATTGAATTACATGATGATGTAAGTGAGTCATTTGAAACAATAAAGGTTAGGCAGGGAGATACATTGAGCCCTACTCTCTTCATATTTTCAT